TCTATCTATTGGTCTTTGGGGCCACTGCCTGATTTGGGCAGCGATCTATTTCACGAGATTGAGATTATGGCTGGCAAGATAGTGAAGACGCTCCGTCTTGCTGTTAAAGTGAAAAAAGAAGCAGTTGCTCCAAAGCATCCGGAAAATACAGTTACAGTTAGCAGCGGGAAAATACTGAATCTGATGTGTAAGACAGGAGCAGCCATACTCCACTATCGAAAAACCCAAACTTTTGGCGTATCATATTCCTACGGCGCACTGCTCATTCTCATGTACCAAGAAGAAATCGCTTTCCAAAATGAACTCCAGAGTGACGCTGCCTACCCTTCGGATTTTTTTTGGCTGATGCTGTCACTACTGCATCCGTATCCAAACATAGTATTCGTAGTCTCCTCAATAACTCTCCACGAGGTCCAGTGGAACTGAGGTGGATAATTTACGTGAGGCATCCAGCTCTCGTATAGCCTCGGTGTTCGCTAAAAGTCTTCTCGGATGCAAAGAGGAGAAAATTCATCCACGACCACCCGGATCGCTTTGCTGGGCCGATCAAGGATCGATCGGAGGAGATGTTTCTCGATAACCGACATCTTCGAAAAGATTTGTTGCAATTATATGGACGCACTCTAGATCTCCTTTCAACCTACGGATAGTCAGCAGCCTCTCCCCCCCCCAACCCAAAGGAGTGCGAGTAAAGCAGGTTTATACTCTCCTCATCATTACGGACTGTCGGGGCGTGTCAGCCAGTAGGAGTGCGCACACTGTTTGAAGCCGTTCTCAGCCTTTTCGTTGAAACGCGTATGCGACAAAAAGTGGTAGAAAACGAGTAATACGAAGGATATAATACAGTAATGTCACTTCCTGGTTCAACGATTGGTGCAGAACGGGCGCGGACGACCGCGCCAAACGCAGCCGCACTGACCCGCCCCGACAGTCCGTAATGATGAGGAGAGTATAATACTTCGCGACAGCAGCGGCGATCGACGGTACGCGGCAGAGCGCGCCCCAACGCTAATATATGGACCGCTCCAAGTGCTTTTACGGCTCAATATCGTGCTTTCTTCCTTCTGAATGCGATTGTCTTAGATACTAAAGCTTGGCTTGACTCAAGGAAAGGTGGATCCAACTTAGTGGCTTTTCTTTTCTATTTTTGTTTTTAATTTAGGATGAAATGAGCGAAACGCGTGAGAGTTTCACCTAAAGTGACATTCTTATTCTTTCTTTTTTCATTATTCGAGCTTGTGAAGTTGTGGAGCTTCCTCTTCCTAGACGTTGCATAAAATAATTGCGGTTTCGATTCCTAGGTCGGTTTCTTTCCGTTTCTTTTTTTTTCGTTGTTTCGAACACGACTTGTAAACTAAGTGTTTCGGAAGTTACGAACAGTTTAGCCAATTTAGAACTTTTAAGACACTTATATAAACTGAAACAATGAAAACAAAAGAAACAAAAAGAAGCTCACCTAGGAAATGAAGCTGCCTTTATCCCGACCTCAAAAAAAGGTGAAACTCCCTCCTCATATTCCAGATCCTCTTAGGTACAAAGTTCTCAGTTAGTAGCCATTATTGCGAGAAAAAAGGTCTTACAAGTTGGATTTGTTACTTATCAAAGCGCGGTCCAAGTAATAGCGTTAGGGCGCGCTCTGTTGCGTACCGACGATCGCGGCGGATGCCGCGACTGTCGCGAAGTATGAACGCTGCCTAATGAATCAAGACTGTTGAATAAACCGTCAGATGGATTATCTTCAACTGTCATGTGCTCAGGTCAACAAAGCACCATGACATAGTGAGCAGCCTCTCCTGAATAAAGCACACGCTCTCATCCTCCACGGCTGCAGAGAGGCCGTGCAGAAAACCGAAATAGAGAATGGATCGAAATGTCCACACAGGAGTTCCAAGCCCCAAAAAGCTGTACGAATGGGGTAAGTACCCCCCCCCTACCTAAGTCCCCTGAAAACAAGAAAAACCACATTCAATGCACCTTACTAGAGACTAGCATTATGGCTCGTGAGATATTGAGACGTTTTTGCTTTCTATAAAAGCCCTTTTGAAAAAAAGGAGCGGTTCAAACCCTAGCTGTACCTACTGACCGTAAGATCGACCGGAAAAGTGGCTAGACCATACCGTTTGGACTGGTCATTGCAAGAAGGGGCACGAATTTTGTAGCTTCAGTTATATTTTTTTAGTATCGAATCTACTCTCTCAACGTATTCTTTGACTCGATGCTTTTGCATGCAAACAAGGCATAGGCATGTGATTCCGAAGCAGGGCACATTGGTTGGAGATTTGAGTCGAGTCTGTACGAATCCCCCTTTTTTGGGGGTTGGTACGACCCCCCCCCCCTCCGGCCCTCTGTCCCTCCTCATCGAATCGAGCCGTCGAGCGGGGGGGGGGGGGAGGGGTAAATAGCACATGTGAAACAGGAAAAGCCGCGAGACAATACGACCCCCCCCCTTCTACCAATTCTCAGATTTTCCCCAACTTCCTGCCACTTTTTCCAAAATTTCCCGAAAACTTCCCTACTTTTTCCCAAAAATTTTGCTGTCGAGGGGGGAGGGGTGCGCGGTGGGGAGGGGGGGGGGGGGGTATATAGTACGCATGAAACAGGAAAATCACGAAAAGTCAACCACCACTCCCACCACTCCTAGAAAGGCCAGAAAGTAAATACGACCCCTCCCCTCCCAACAATGAGCAAGTACGACCTCCCCCTTTACAACGTCCGTGAAGCGAGAAAAATCAACTATCCGAATAAATTTTTCT